AACGGAAGGTCCATATGGGCCACAGAGTGTCAACAAGGAAAATTATTTCGTCTGTAGAAGAGATTTTGGAAACCCTTGAGGAACAGGATCAGCCATCGGCCATTATTACATGATTACGACAGCAGAAAACTCCTGCTATAAGAGAAGCTAGACACAATTCAAAAGTTAGATGAAGATATCCTCACAGTTGTCAGCGAAGATCAGATAGATGAAGAAATTTGTGAAGCAGACGAAATTCATGGAATTTACGCAGTTGACAATAATGAGGATCGATGCAGCATTGACTCCTAGCCAATTGACCCCTTCTTCTAGATCACCTGGAAATGTCTCGATGGCTTCGGAAACACATCCAAGCCCTTCTAAATCACCTGGAAATGTCTCGATGACTTCGGAAACACATTTGACTCCTCCTACATCGCCCGAAAATGTCTCGATGGCTTCAGAAGTTCATCTGACTTCTTCTACATCGAATGGAAATGTCTTTGTGACTTCGGATACACCCTTGACTCCTTCCACATCAGGCATTTCCAATACTTATAGCTTAGGAACACAAGTAAAACTACCTAAACTAGACCTGAGAAAGTTTGATGGAGACATAAGCAAGTGGCCCTCGTTCTGGGATGCTTTTGAATCATCTGTGCACAGCAATACCAAACTAGCTCCCGTAGATAAATTGAATTACCTGAATTCTCTTCTTGTGAACTCGGCTAGTGAAGCCATTTCTGGATTGTCCCTTACTGCTACAAATTATGATGAGGCTGTTACCATCTTGAAGAGAAGGTTTGGGAACAAACAGTTGATAATCAATAGGCACATGAAGACTCTGTTAAACATAAGCTCAGTCAAATCAGGCCTTAATATCCAAGCGCTACGTCAGCTGCATAATCTAATTGAGTCTCAAGTTAGAAGTCTAAAGTCATTAGGTGTATCCTCAAGTTCATATGGAAGCCTCCTGTCCTCTGTGGTTATGAGTAAGTTACCACAAGATTTGCGATTGATCATCACCCAAGAAGTGAAGGATGAGTGGGATCTTGATCACATTCTGGATGTCTTCAGAAGTGAACTTGAAGCTAGAGAGAAAGCCAGTGGGAACAATGTTAGCCCAACTGACCAATCGTCAACCAAACCTCCTTACAACAGAGGTCGCAAGGGATTGCCATTGTCAACAGATGTAGCGTTATTTGCCACTGGGTCCAAGCCAACCTGCACATACTGCCGAAAGGATCATGCATCTAATGCCTGTAAGAACGTGACAAGCATTGCAGCGAGAAAAGAGATTTTGAAAAGGGCAGGACAGTGTTTTGTTTGTCTAAAAAGGAATCACATAAGTAAAAATTGCAGTTCAAGAATGAAGTGCCTCAAATGCGGACAACAGCACCACATCAGTATTTGTACAAGCGACACTAACAATGAAGTCAAGTCTTTACACACTCTGAATGTTGAGAGATCAGCTTCCTTACCTCAGAGCCAAACATCATGCAGCCCTCCAAGAGAATCTAGTGGGAGGCCCACAGTTCTGTACGTCAATGCGTCAATGCCCATCCTTCTTCAGACTGCCAAGGCAGCAATTTACTGACCTGGGCCCAGTTGTTCGAAGGCCGATTAGCGCTAACCCAGGGTTAAATTTTAATCTGCGTTTCTTTATTCCTTTACTCAAAAGCCTTTTTGGGAAAATTTTCAGTGTCCTTTTTAAAGCATCAAGTAGTCATACTCTAAACAAAAAGAATTCGACTGAATTTTCTTGTAAAGCTTTTAGATCTGAAATCGGATTTCACACTAACCCTGGGTTATCTTAACCCAGCTTTGAACAACCCGGCCCTGGTCAACCTAACGAGAAGTTTCTAGCCCGACCAATTGTAGGCAGTGACAGTCAGAGATCCTATGTGACCACCACAGTAAAAGACAAGCTAAGGTTACCAAGTGAGAGAAAGCAGACTATTTCTGTAAAAACATTTGGTTTCTCTCAGGACCTACAAATGGAGCAGTGCAAAATGACCAACAGCAGAACAACCTTGTGACAATGCATGTCCTGAAGACGGCTACAAAACCTGTGGACATTACAAATGAGAGACTTGGTGGAAGCCTGCAGAGGTTCTGGGACCTAGATTCATTGGGTGTCAGACCAAGATCTGTGTATGAAAAATTTGAAGAAAGGATAACCTTTGAGAAAGATCGATACAAGGTGCATTTGCCATGGAAGCTGCCACACCCAATTCTTCCTGACAACTATAAACTGAGCATGAAGCGGTTGAGTAACCTACTCAAACGTCTGAACCAAGATCCTGAAGTCTTGAAGGAGTATGATTCAGTAATAAAGGAGCAGCTGAAAATGGCATAGTTGAAGTTGTAGAGAAGCCAGCTGATGGTGAATTTGGGAAGACTCATTACCTTCCGCACCATGCAGTTATAAGACGAGATAAGGCAACAACCAAGTTTAGAGTCGTATATGATGCCTCAACCAGATCTTATGGTGCAGCCTTGAACGATTGTTTGTACACAGGACCACCCCTTGCAGAGAACATTTTTGACATTCTCCTGAGATTTTGAGCTAGCAGAATAGCCCTTACTGGTGATGTGGAGAAGGCGTTCCTGATGGTTGGCATTGCAGAGGAAGACAGAGATGTGCTAAGATTTCTGTGGGTGGATGACATCGAGAAGAAGAACCCAGAGATCATGGTACTAAGGTTCACCAGAGCTGTCTTTGGAGTATGTTCTAGTCCATTTCTACTCAATGCAACCTTGAAACATCACATTGAAAGACACAAGAATGAGGACCCTGAGTTTGTAGACCAATTCCTTCGCTCCATCTATATAGATGACCTGAGTTCTGGAGCCGCTGACAACAATACAGCATATGAACTGTACCTTAAATGCAAACTCAGACTTGCTGAGGGAGGATTTAACCTCAGGAAATTATATGACGTACTGAGTACGTCATGACCTTTTCTCCCTCAGGTGCCTATATGACGTACTGAGTAAATCAAAACTTCAAGAGATTTACTCAAAAGCCAGGCACCCGGGATGCAACTTTTATTGTCACCCTCTCGGCACCCTAGATTCGGAAAAGGTTTTAGGGGGACTGGTAATGAGCTTTGGTTCCCAAGAGTCTCTGCGAGTAAATTTTTTCACATTTCCGTGCGATTTTTTTCCGCCATCTTGGTTGCAGTACTGATCGAAGGAAGCGTGGTTGTTTATTCGAGAAAAGCGCGGAATTTTTGTATTTCTTTTACAAACAACCTTGGCTGATGGCTCGATTTAGTGCTCAAGATGTTTTGGACAGAGTCTGGAACGATTCTGGAGACGAAGGATCAATCAGTGATAGTGACTACGCTCGTGGGAATTCTAATTCAGATAGTGAAAGTGACGAATGGAGTGGTGATTCTGCTGAATCTTCAGAAAGTAGCGATACCGAAAGTGGCAATGAGTCAGAGAAAAGTGACAACGAGCCTGCTGCAAGAAACAATCCTAATCCACGGGGGCGAAGAGGGCAACCACATCAAAATCAGCCTGCTTTACAGTCGACTCCTGCCAACATGGAAAGACCACGTGCATTTCCTTTCACTGGCAACAGTGGAATTCAGGTAAGCACAGTTGGATTTGGGCCAATTGATAACTTTTCCCTGTTTATCAATCAGGATCTCACATATTATTTTGTAACTGAGACAAATCGTTTTGCTGAGCAATTTATGACTGGTGATGATATATCGAGGAGGTCTCGTGCAAATTCATGGCATCCTACTGACCCACGTGAAATGAAACAATTTCTAGGACTGTTGTTTCTAACAGGAATCATAAGAAAACCAGCAATCAACTTGTACTGGTCTACAGACCCACTGTATTCCACCCCTTTGTTTGGTGCTATCATGAGCAGGAATAGATTACAGTTGTTGTTGAAGTTCTTACATTTCAATGATAATGCAGAAATGCCTGGGGCAGACGACCCTTCCCCAGACAAACTTTTAAGGTATGCCCACTGGTGGATCATCTATGTGAGAAATTTGGCGAGGTTTATACACCGTCATCTAATATCTCAATTGATGAATCTCTGCTATTGTGGAAAGGACGCCTTGGTTTCAAACAGTATATTCCTCTAAAGAGGGCCAGATTTGGAATCAAATGTTTCATGTTATGCGAGGACTCTGGATACACCTTCAAGTTCAAAATTTACATGGGAAGAGAGAATGTCCCCCCCACCTGCAGGTGCACTTTCGGTCTCAGAGAGAGTTGTGGCTGACCTCATTGAACCTTTGCTTGAGAAAGGCTATCATTTATATATTGACAACTGGTACACCAGCATACCACGGTTGAAATTTCATTTCTTTTCTTTGCTGGCCTTTGGAACAATACGAAGTAATTGTAAGGGATTCCCTGATCCCGTGAAAAAAGCGAATTTGAAGAAAGGTGAAGTCAAAGCTTACAGAAGCAGTGAACTTCTTGCCATGAAGTTCAAAGACAAGAGAGATGAGCTAATGCTAACAACAATTCACAATGAGGAAATGGTTCCAGGACGAAGACTTGCAGCCCACCACAAACCAAGATGCATTGCAGACTATGATAAATATATGGGCGGAGTGGACCGTACTGATCAGCTGATGCAGCCATATGACATGGCAAGAAAATCCCTCAAATGGTACAAGAAACTGGCATGTCATTTTCTGCAGCTTGCCATGCTAAATAGTTTTCTAGTTTACAAGAAAGATCATGGCCGAAAGCGCTTTTGGAATTTCAGCATGATGTGATTTCAGTGCTTCATTGATGACTTACTGAAGCACAGCTTTCAGTATAACATCAAAATTATTGGCTTTCCTGAACAGGATGAACACGAGTCTTCTGAAACCACCACGCAGTTGTGTTTAAAGCTTTTCCATGCTATCGGAGCTGAGGGAGTGACGAAAAACGACATTGATATCGCTCATAGAGTGAATAGCTGAAGGGCTGACCGCCATTACCCAAGACCTGTTGTGTGCAAGTTTATAAGACGACTGGCCAAAGAAGAAGTCATGGCTCATCGTAATGAAACTTCCAACTTAAACCCTGATGATCTGGATTTATCTGCTGATTTTCACACGAGAAACATCCGAATTCATGAACACCTGATCCCGAGATTACAGCAACTTCTTAGCGAGACAAACAAATTGAAATCAACACATCAATTCCAGTACGTCTGGGTGAAGAACTCTGAGATTCTGGCTCGTAAATCTAGTAGTTCTCAGGTCTTCAAATTAAAACGCATGGCCGATCTTGACAATCTGAAACAAAGCTTGGTCAGTAATCTAACTCAGGATTAAGGAGATAAGTGTGTTAATTGTTATTCGTTCATAATCTTAATGATGTGATACAGTTAATGGAAATGGCTTCGCACAAAGAGATGAAAGATCTCGCTAAAGAAAACAAATTTCTGTTGATGGAATTGCCATATTATAACTGTAAAGATCTGAAAAATGCCCACCTGCAGTATAACGCTTTACTGGACACTAATCTAGCCTCCAGGAAATCGATCTATTCATTTAATAGCTTATATGATCTTGGTCTTTTTCAGAACGATTACGTAGACAAAACGATTGATCCTGATGCTTACTTAATGACAACGAGTAAAATTCATGCAAGCTACTATTCGCCTCATGGCTTCTCCATGAAGTTTGAAAATACCAGAAATAGAGATGTCATATCCGATTTCTCTATTCTTCACACTAATATAAGAAGCTTATATAGAAAAAATATTGAACATTTTCAGTGTCACGTACTCAGTGAGGTAAAACATAATTTCACGGTATTAGGTGTTACAGAAACGCGACTATGCGTAGGCGAATCTATTGATTTTATACCACAACTACCTGGCTATTGCTTTGAATTTGTTAAAACCCCGTTGTCTGCCGGTGGTGTTGGTCTTTTTATTAATGAAAACTATAAATATCGAGTCTTAGAACGCTCTACTAATTCCTCTTATCAAGCCTTGTGGATTGAAATTTCACTACCAAATCACAAGAAAAATATCTGCGGCATTGTTTACCGACAACATAATAATGCAGATCAATTTCTTGACTATCTTTCGGATTCCCTCGAGTATTTCAGTAATCACAATAATAATATATATCTCATGGGAGATTTCAATATAGACTTGCTAAAATATGAAAACTGTAAATACAGCCAGATACTGCTTCAGTGTATGCAAAGTTTTTCTATGCTTCCTACAATTGATAAACCAACGCGAGTGTATGGGTCCTCAGCGACTTTAATTGACAATATCTTCACAAATAACCTGACGAATAATATTTCTAGTGGTAATATCGTCACCGACACAACCGATCATTTTTCCAAGTCTGTATTGTCAACGTAAACAAGCAAAAATTACCACATACAAAAAAAGACTACATTTAGGGATTATTCCAGCTTTCATGCTGATGAATTCATGAATGACCTAAGTGCAATTAATTGGGAAGAGGTTTCTGGTAATTGCGACGTAAACAAGTCATTCTCTCACCTTTATAAAACTATAAATCATGTAGTTAATAAACATGCACCGCTCAGGGATGCTTCAGTGAGAAAACTAAGAATGCTAACTAAACCTTGGCTAACTAGAAGTTTTTGTCCTGTTTTTATTGAAAAATGTGGAAACGTCATATTGATATCAAATTACGTCAACCTCAGCAAAATTGGGTTCATTGAAAAGAAAATTTTATGACCTTTCAGAAAATGTATACATGTCTATAATTTCAGAGGAACACTTCTGGTATTTGAGGTCTTTTATGAGACACCCATTTTTAGTTAAAATGCTCTAGCAGACAGGGTACAATGGCACTGGCATCACCAGGCTTTTTTCTGTACATAAAGTATTTTTTCTTGAAGTAATATCTTGGATATATGTAAGCATATGTTGTGCAAGTATTTTTGCATCAGTTTGGAATAAATTTAATTGTTGAGAGACTTGTTTTTGTCCTATTTTTGTTGAAAAATGTGAAAAAAATGCAAATTTTCCCACGGTTATGACGTCATACTGATATCGAATTACGCCAACCTCAGTTAAATTTGCTTCGTTAGAAAGAAAATTTCATGACCTTTCAGAAAATATCTACATGTCTATAGTTTCGGAAAAAATACTTCTGGGGTTTGAGGTTTTTTGTGAGACACCCATTTTCAGTTAAAATGCAGTGGCACACAGGGTACAGAAAGGGGACATGGAGCGTGGCACTCAAGGGGTTAAATGCAAACTCAGACTTGCTGAGGGAGGATTTAACCTCGGGAAATTTATGTTGAATTCAAGTCAGCTAACCGAGCGAATTCAGCAGAATGAAGCATGTATCTCAGCTCCTGCCATATCTACCAACACTGATCAGATAAAGTCACCTTTAGACCTTTCCAAGGGAGATTCTGTAATTGAAGAAGACAAGACTTATGCAAAGAGCATGCTGGGAACTACGGAAGAGTCATCCGGTGCAGAACAAAAGGTGCTTAGTGTGCGATGGAATTTTGTCAGTGACCATTTTGTGTTCGATTTGAGGGAGATAGCAACCCTTGCAAGGAACATTGAACCTACCAAGAGAAATGTTGTAAGTGTCACAGCAAAGTTCTATGATCCAATGGGATTCCTGTCACCCATCATTACAGAGTTCAAGATATTCCTTCAAGAAGGGCGAAGATTGGCTGGGACGAACCTCTAGAAGGAGAGTTAAAGAAGGAATGGTTGAAGCTGGCCACTGGATTGCAATGTGTAAGCTCATTCACAGTTTCAAGATGTTATTTCCAAGAAGTCACAGAGAAGATTGTTTCTTGTAGCCTTCATGGATTTGGAGATGCATCCAGCAAAGCCTATGCAACAGTGATATACCTACATGTCACAACAACCACCGGAAGTTATGTCAAGTTCTTAGCCTCGCGATCCAGAGTTGCTCCAGTGAAACAAGAGACGATTCCAAGATTAAAACTTCTTGCCGCCTTAATATTAGCAAGACTGATAAGCCATGTTGGAGAAGCCTTAGAGCCTGAAGTGGATATTACTTACCTGACCTGCTGGACTGATTCAAAGGTAGCACTAGCTTGGA